GACTATAATAATGCATCTAACGCCATTGATAGAAAAGTACTGTTCAGTGACCTTTCTTTAAGCGATAATCAACCCTCCTTGACTGAACTACTGAATAAGTGAATCCGCTTTGAGTTGTTTTTACAATAAAGCTGAATGTGGAGTGAAATTGCCCAGAACGGAAGAACATGATAGGGAGGTCAAGTCACTAGACAGGTACGTGTAATATAAAAAAACAGCTTGAATATCACTAATCACAAGAACAGCCCGCGAATGTATCTAAGGTCATCCACTAGCACAGTGGTCTTTAAGCGCTCGAAATAACAACACATTGCACCAATAATCTCTTTGTTGAATTTTCCTCCTATTTCTGGCATATGCACATGAGCAGACACATTGACTGTTTTCCATTGAGAACTTTAGATCGTTTACGGTCGTCGGTCGACGATCATTCTCGAAACAGCGTTTCCGATAGAAAGAAAATCTGACTGTTGGGACATAAACTTGTTGTAATGAATAAACGCACTGATACCAAGGTTAAATATCCACGAGCGAAAACCAATCTGGTGGAGACAAGGGTGCAGCCATTTTGATTTCACAGTGAATCGTGTGCATGTCTCACTGGAGCTTTTGGTTCATGGTTACTTTTATATTTTCCTTGTCTGGCAGGTTGTTTGGAAGCCTCCTCCACGGATAACCTACCTGTGTGTTGAGAGCGTCGGTGAGTGGCCAGGGATTCTGCGGCCTTTTGTGAAGACCCTAATTGTATAACAACTCGAAATGCTTTGCCCGGAATCAACCTGCCAGTGCATTTCGAGTGGATTCAGAATTGCGGTCGGTCCTGCATTATACACCAAAAATGTATTAATTCAAGGCTAACAGTCATCGGCGAAGGATAAATTATCATAGGAAACATTGTACCGGAGACGTACATCTCAGGTTACTCTGCAAGCTACCATGACAGAAACTGTAAATTCGCCTGTTCATGGAAACCTAAAAACGAATCTCCGAATGTGTTCTTAACAATACTTCTTTCGTTTTCAAAAGTCTGAAATGCGGTAAGTTATCATCTATTTTAAAAGATCAAATGGATAAAAGAAGCCTTGGAGAACCTTTCGCTTTAAATTGATCGGATCATCGGTTCTTGCTTGATTTTCTCCCCTTTGGCTTTTTACGGTCCCATGTTCCTTTGCGGGTTTGTTCAATAAGGACCTTAGAATCGCTTTCAGATCCCTCAAATATGCCTGTCTCCCTCGTGAGAAGAGCTTGTTAGTCAGTCATTGTCCTCGTTCATTCTAATCAGTGCGAACAGTCCTAACATCTGGTTTACAGTGAATACTGAAAAGCTTTACCTTCGGTATCGCACCCTTTTAGTCAGAATATAAGAAGAGAATTTGAACTGCATCGAATATTTCTCGCATTTCACCTTTATGAAACAACTCTTAAAGGAAATTGAATTCTTGAGATTACAATTCATCCATGAATTCCATCATCCACATGCATCCGGATTAGGATGAAACCGCGAAACATTCAAGCAGGCCGCCTATTTGACAGTTGAAAGACGTTCAATGTAGGCACCAGTTTCCAGGATCGAGGTTTCATAACTGAACCTGATACCGACTATTTTTAAGCAGATCAATGTGATTGGATTATTTTTAAAATGCCCAGTTCATTTGACTCAGCCTCTCCGCCCTCCGGCCCCTCCTTTCATTCCCACAAATGTAAACATACCAATGCGATCGAGTATAAGAAGTATTAATTCTCAGCCCAAGCAGCTGCTTCATCTCAAAAATTTCCGCTGACATGGTTGGTGTACAACAAACCGAGGTAAACAGCAAAAACTCTGTATCAAAGACCCGGAAAGGCACACTGCAAACATGCACACATCAACAACCATTCACGTATTGTTTTCAACTCCGGAACGTACGAATTTGAGATAAGAACATATTTTCAGAAGTGAACTATATCTTTTATTGATTCATTGTGTAGATCACGTAAAAATGAATATTCATCCAGTTAGACAGAAGAAAACCATCCACTTCCTTAGTTCAGCTGAGCTATTGGCAACCAATAGTTCAATTTTACATAAATCAAGGCTGCATCTATATGTAACTTCCACCTGTCTATTGAGTACTACCGAGTGACTGTATTATCGGATGTGGAACGTGCGAGGATCCCAACCAGCGGTGTTACATTTCACTGAAATGCTTATGAAGACCATTTATTACGCTTCGTTACTGCTCAATACAGCTGCTATTATGGCTTGGGAGTAGCCGAGTTTTTCCCACCCCACCTTATAAACAGTCGGGCATTCGATGCCCTTTGACCCACCTAACGGCGGACATTAAGGCCATATGAGGGTGCCTAAGCCTTTAGGGCACGGCATACTTCATGGCAGCCCACACCGACGAAGGGGTTTTTCTATGGGAACCCTAACCGGAGCCTTTGACTGAAAAGTCTGACCCACAAGGCAGTGGGGCGTAAATCCAACGCGGGAGCGTGGCCGAAGCACCCGTGTGGGAGCTTCTAGAGACCGGTCACGCAAAGTCTTCGGGTTTCGGTTCAGTGTGTTGTTCGCTGGTGCGTTGATTGTTGGTCCACTTTTCGGGATCGGCTTTTAGCCTCATACACCCAATGAGACAAGCGGCACGTGGACGGGACAGCACCTTATTGGCTGGGGCTGCCCAGTTGGGACCGGCGGTAGCTGTCCAATGAAGTGCGAAGACTTCTCCCACTGTCGAAAGGAAGCCCTATGTACCCCGCTCTTACGTCCATCTAGTGGGGGTTTTTTGACCGGTAAAGTGCCCCTCACCGTGTTCATTTTCTGTAGTGATCTCTCCAGGGGCGGGTGTGGGTGGAAGAAGGAAGCCAGGAGTCGCCAAAGTAGCTGGCTTTGTCTGGTCTCTACGCGTTTATTTTTCAGGCATGATTGGATCTACGGCTGTGAAAAGCCACCCTGTGTAGCTCATAGGATCATGGAGGCACGCAAACCATTACATCACGTCAAGGTACAGTCTCGCCGTGATAGGGGCAGTCTCGTTGTGTGGATCAAACATAAAACAAGCGACCACCATCCCATCTAACCCCGTGGCGCACAATCGGGCGATCACGAATATCCAGCCACCTTGACTGAAATCACACCGACTCCAATGGATGATGCTCGACTGGCGCTGATAACTGTTTGTTTCGCTATTCTGTCGAACGATCCATGCTCAGAATGGCTGGTGGTTAAATCATTCCTGAGGTCCCTTACGTACATCAGTTGCATGTATTTATTTGAAAAGCAGCATGATTTGTCCCAAGCTGAGCATCAAGTCAATCGGTTTCTTCCAGCAGTATACATTTAAACCAGTAAGTCGCCTGGCACATCTCTCCAATATAGATGATTCATCTCCTCGAACGCACATCATTCCTATCCACAATTCACCAAAGCGACAGTGACCGCACACATTGGCCGAGTTTTCGACAATACGACAAGGTCATACCTAAACAAATCTACAACGAGGAATGGTTTTTGTGGCCGAAAGTGGAACGTCCGGAAGAGAGGTCAGAATGAGGAATGAGGAGCAAAGACACGAAAAAGCTCCGGCATTCACGAAACTTGACAGTGAATCATATATTCTCATCGTACTTAAATCCGACGAGCGCGCACACACAAATCTCGAAAGTTGCAGAATTTCCTCCCGAACTAACAAAATAACCGTTCAGCTGCCGACGAAGGTTAACCGAATTCATGGCAAACTTGACTAAAGCGAATGCGGTATGTGCAAAAGCTAGGGGGAAATATACATAGGTCAACTATTAGATGACTGATTGATCGATTGGTGTTTGAAGAAGTAACAACGGTCCCACAACCGCAATGTGCACAAGCACAACGACAACAGGAACTGGTAACAGAAAAATGACCACCATCACGACGGACACAACAACGGCAACCGCAGCAGCAACAGCAGAAATAACACAGACGATAACGAGAACAACGAAAGCACAAAGTTGTGGAATGTTGACCATTGCAATAGAAATGAATCGTGATAATTACACCACTCATCATCATCATCATCATCATTGTTGTCATCATCGTTTTCAACAATATTATTGCAAGATTGTAAGTATTGTTAAACAACGGAAAACAAAAATTCCGAATTAATAGCAGACTGTAAGGTGTGGTGGAACAGGATGACGAGAGAGGATCACAACCGAGAGAGAGAGGAGGAGGCAGACGAATGAACAACCAGAGAAATATAGGTGGAAATAAATGAATAAACCAACAGAGTTGAAACAGAAGATTGCCTAGGTCGTCGTGTAAGGGAAGGCTGTTTGGCTTGACCGACTGTCATCGAATAAGATCTGAGCAATGAACTAATAGAGGATAGTGGCTGGCATAGCAGNGGCGTCCGCACTACTAGAAAAATAAACCAAACCACAGATAGCATCGTGATATTGCTACTGGACATCGATGTGTTCGCGCATGTGAGTGAGTGTGGATGTGTGGCGTAACAAAAAGTGACAGAATGAGACAACTAAAGTCCGGTAGCAAAATGCACAACCTTCCGACTTGATTTGAGGGTTGAGGTCATGGGTGGGGGTGGATGAATGAGGGATCGTGGATGGGTGGAAGATACGGAACAACCAGATGGAAAATTTGAAAAGTTAGAGCTGGGTGATGGGAACCGAACCGTATGATAACCATATGCAACGTCGATTGAAATGGTGGATAACAAGGATGTTGGATGAGTAAGTAATGAGATCAGTCAAATCCGAGTAGATGGAGTGAAAATAATCAGAGAAAAGAAGTCCGACCAGAGAGATTTTTGGATATTTTTCGGGAGACCGAAAGTGTTCAACGGAAAGGAGTAGGTTTAACATTTAATGCCGACCTAAAACAGGATCGACGATCTGGATGGCGGTGATATAAATGAATAAGCATATCTGTGAGTGCAATAGAGGTTGTCGTAACGAGAGCGTTACTATAACACTGAATAAAATGTCCTTTGGCGCGGAATATCCAATTTAAACTGATGCTAAGCGTCTAGAGCCAACTTGACCAACTCATCCAAGCACGACTGGTCCGCCAGGGTAGATGTATCGCCAAAATCAAAGTCCTGATTGGCAATTTTGCGAAGCAAACGCCGTAGAACTTTGCCGCTGCGCGTCTTTGGTAGCATACGAGCCTCCTACATGAGCCGGAAACGGAGATAAAGGAAGTAACAAACAGATTATGAACGGATAAATTCGAATAATGAAACACAGAGAAGTCCTTGAGGGGGCCCACAATAAATGAATTCTTGCTTGGAGTCAGTCTCACTCTAACTTATTTCAAGGACGCAGAATCAACCGTTTAGTACATGAATATACCTGATCACGTACTTTCTTCATATCTTCTATCCGGTATTCAGCTTCGTGAGGTTCTTTATTTATTGACAAGGATGCCGAAACACGGATGAACCCTAGCACACTGAAGCGACGAACTACGGAACAGAACTTTCCCTGAAATAATGAGATCAATAAACGACACAACTGGGGTAAGGAACAAGCGAAATAAAATATGTGGACAAATGTAACGCACCTGAATGTGATCTGGCACCACAAATGGTCCGATGCGTTTGCGAATCAGCTGGCAAAGCTCAGATCTTAGTGTTGCGTCCAAATGAATACCGCGATAACTCGAATCGTTAGCGGTTACCGTCCCATTTGCAGTCTGNTTGTTCTTCAAAGTGACAAAACAATGCAAACACTCGCCCTTGACCGGATGCATTCGACTCACAACAGCCGCCTCAGCGATGTGCGGATGCAACAGCAGAGTGCTCTCCACCTCAGCTGTGCTAACCAAATGACCGCTGATATTCAGCATATCATCAATACGCCCTGAATATGAGTAGGAAGCGAAAAAACAGAGCGAGTAAAAGGTGATGTATCAATGAGAATCGTTCCACTTCTTAATAGTATAGTAAAAACATGGTATCTTGGGTGCAATGAGGTCCTGGACGTGTACAATTCGACAGACTGGACACCGAGTTCTAACAGACTACGATTTCCACACACAGTTCTGCTGATTGGTGGGTTAGGCCTTGGTTCACCGAAAGTTTCAACTATTAATTTAAAATAAAATCTCCCTCTGGAGTTATACTAGTCCATCCACGTTATATTCTTACACCGTGATTTCTTTGATCTATAGCCTGGACCCCTATAAATGTGAAAAATATGAACAATGCGCCCCAAAATCATGGGGATAATCAATTCTTTTTAATCCAGTGTTAGTAATGAAAACCGCATAATGGGCATTCTCTGTACTGTAAGCATCGGAGTCACGGTCTATCAGAACGCGTGAAAATGTTCGACATCGAGTTTCTGGGTGACAACGCACAGGCGGTCCAACACGCGTTGAACCGCTTGGCGATCGAGGTATCCAGGCATGGTATGTGCTTTGCACCATCCAAATGCGGTTTGTTGAAGACTGGCAGGAGCTTGTATCTATGCTCACCCTCTGTAGTGATCAGCTGGAAGTGGCTGAGAGTTCCACGGGAGCTTGGTCGCATGTGGTGTTAAGGCTGCGGTGGAGATCCCATCACGAATAGCGAAAGCTAGAGAAGCCGCCGCTGGCAAGGCTGGAAGAAGCGTCGCGGTGGTAAAACCATGACATGGCGTAGAGGTATGACGAAGCTAGCTTCAGCTTCGGCTTCGGTTGGTGCAGCCCGCCTTCCAGGTTGGGGCCCAAGGGATGAGGATCGTCGTTGGTTAGTCGCCGAGAGATATCGCCCAGAATGGAACTCAATCGCGCGAATGGTATTTGGTCTACCTGTTAAAATCCTGTACCCCATAAAAAGAGAAAAACTGACACGAACAAAAATATCAAAAAGTGAAACCAAAGAAAATGTTATTCTCGTCATTCAAATTAACTGTCTGACCCGTTTTACTCCGTGGTGTATTCCAACCCCCACCCCACCCCCGACATGTGTTATTCTTGTTGCGTTGGCATCAGGCTTGGTCGCAAGTCAGTGATATATATATATATATATATATATATATATATATATATATATATATATATATAT